TTTGCTTTGGCAGGAATAGTAGGTTATTAAGTAGTTTGGGGTGTTACTCCAGCCTTACATTCACCATTAATGTCAGTCACAAATGCAGTATCTGGTATAATTATAGTTGGAGGTATGGAATTGATGGATGGAAAATATATGCCAGGATCTTTAACTGGATTATTAGCAGCTATTTCTGTTGCAATTGCATCATTGAATATTTCAGGAGGTTTCTTAGTCACATAAAGAATGTTAAATATGTTTAGAAGACCAACTGATCCTCCTGAATATAATTATTTGATGGCATTAGCAGGAGCAACAGGAGTACTTGGATATTATGGTGGACTCTATTATGGAATTCCTAAAGAACCATTGACAAATCTATCTTATTTAGCATCTTCAATTGCTTGTATCTTAGCTATTGGAGGATTAGCATAATAATAAACAGCTAGAATTGGTAATAGTTTTGGATGTTTGGGAGTTGGATTAGGTGTTGCTGCAACTTTAGGATATAAAGGATTTTCTCCAGAATTATTAGCTTAATGGGCATCTATGGTTATGTTAGGAGCTACTATTGGTGGTACTGTTGCTACAAGAGTTGCTATTACTGATTTACCTTAATTAGTTGCATGTTTCCATTCCTTTGTTGGTTTGGCAGCTGTCTTAACATCAATTGGTAACTATCTACATGTATTCCCTCATTTGGCTGAAGATCCTGCCGCCCTTGTTCACAAATTATCTATATTCTTTGGTATTTTCACTGGTGGTATTACATTTACTGGTTCACTTATTGCATTTGCTAAATTATAAAATCTCTTGCCTTCAAATCCAACTGTTGTTCCTTATCATAATTAAGTCAATATTGCATTAGCAGCACTCTCAGTTGCATCTTTATTAGTATACAATTAAACAGGTAGTTTTGCTGTTGGTATGACAGCATTATTAACAGCTACCGCTGCTAGTAAAGTTCTAGGAGTTACATTAACAAATGCAATTGGTGGAGCTGATATGCCAGTTGTAATAACAGTTTTGAATTCATATTCAGGATGGGCATTATGTGCTGAAGGTTTTATGTTAGATAATCCATTATTGACAATAGTTGGTGCATTGGTTGGATCGTCAGGTGCAATTCTATCTTATATTATGTGCAAAGCTATGAATAGAAATTTAACAAGTGTTATTTTTGGAGGATTTGATGTTAATCCAGCAGCAATTTAAGCTACAAAAGTAGAAGGAACACATACTGAAATAAATGTTGAATAAGCTGTTGAAATGATGGTTAATAGCAAATCTATAATTATTGTGCCAGGATATGGTTTGGCAGTTGCTAAAGCATAATATCCAGTTGCTGAAATGTGCAAGACTCTTATTGATTAAGGAATCAAAGTAAGATTTGGTATTCATCCAGTTGCTGGTAGAATGCCTGGATAATTGAATGTTTTATTAGCTGAAGCTGGTATTCCTTATGATATAGTTTTTGAAATGGATGAAATTAATGATGATTTCCCTGATACTGATCTTGCTGTTGTTATTGGAGCTAATGACACTGTCAATTCTGCTGCTGAAGAAAATCCTAATTCGCCTATTGCAGGTATCATTAATATATAATTACTAATTAGGAATGCCTGTTTTAAGAGTTTGGTCTGCTAAATAATCAATTGTTATGAAGAGATCAATGGGTGTTGGATATGCTGCTATTGATAATCCTGTATTTTACAAACCAAATAACAATATGTTATTAGGAGATGCCAAAAAAACTTGTGATGAACTCTCTTCAAAAATCAAAGATCATTTTAAATCATGAAATAATTTTGTTGTGCAATTTCATATAAATATAAATATGGTATTCATTTTATTAAATTTGTTAATTTGTCAATTAGTTCTTGATTTTGACTCTCTGAGTATGCTTTAGCTACTAAAACATTTAAAGTTTAATTTGGTAATCTATCCTTAACTTGCATCAATTCTATCACATATAAAATTAAATCATCTCCTGATAATTACATCTCATAGATATCTTATTATAATTTTGAATATAAATTTTATGATCCTAATTAATTTCTTGCCATCGATACATATATAGACATCATATTTTCTATTCTAATGTGTGAATTAATTATATAATATTCAATTTCGGCTTCACATTATTCTAATGAAACGACATTTTGCTAACTAATAACTTGTAATGATTATGTAAATAAATCTTCATTTATAGTTTTTAATTATTATCTAAATTATTCAATAAAATCATTCCAAAATTCTACATTACCATGATTAGTCAATCCCATTCCTGTTGCTATCCTCATATAAGAATGAAAATCTTTATCCAACTTTAAGGAATGTTAGGCTATATCATCCCATAATTATTTGTCTTTGTACTATCCCAATGCCAAACCAATACAAGCAGCTCCCAACTATTCTGCATTTGTTTTACTAACATCAAATTCCTTAACAAATTTATTCATAATTTATCTATTCTAATAATCATAGAAGGCAACCATCTTTCCCATTATAGACAATCCCATAGCATATTATTAACTACTCTCAATAATTGATTCTATTTCTTTAATTTATTCCTTTGATAAATTTGAAGTTGGTAAAATTATTTTATCTAAAAGCTAATATTTGATTTGTTAATCTTCCACATTCTTTATAGCTATTAATAAATAATCTATATTATCATCATCTACTAATTAGTCTTGTTTCATTAATTCAACAACATTATTTAGTTATTCTCCATTTAATTAGGTAAATTATTGTCTCGTATCCATTATCAACTATTTAAACTCTCTCTATCAAATTATTCAATACCTTAAAAACTGATATTATGCTTCCCTTTAAATTTCATTAATTATTCTAACCTTGAACTTCTCATTACTATCTTCATTAAATTTCGCAGCATTTTATAATATAAATAGTACCAGAAATATAATTTTTAAAAACATAATAAAATTTTATATGCTTTGTTGGATAATATATATATAATGAATTCTAATGCTCTAATGAATAAAAAAAGAAGCAAGAGAAGAATCCAATATTAAGAGAAATTTTTAAAATTGATATTTGGTAATAATTTAAAGTTAATTTGTTTTATAAGAATTATTTATTGCGCTTCTTTGAATCTAGTAAATAAATTCAAATAATTCGCAGGCTTCAACTAGAATGAGTAGTTAAGAATAAAATAACAATGCTAATAATGAAAATGAAATCGCATAAGATTGCAACTTAGCTACAAGTAAGAAGGCTCTTAAGAAGAAGAAACTAGACGATAAGTAGGAACCAAAAAAGCCCATTGATGGAAAAGTATAATTTGGTGATAAATCTATATGTCGACTCTGTAAAGTGTCAACTATGTCTACTGTTATAATTATTTGCATTAGATGTCATTTCAAATACCATTAAGAATGTATACGCAAATAAAACAAAGAACCTTAAATTTAGGATGGTATAAAATGGCATTGTTTGTCTTGCATTGATAGAATTGCCAAGAGAAAATTCAAAGAATCGAAACCCTAAAAAAAGAGGCACTAAAATTAAATACAAGATTTCTTTTAAAAAACAGTTCAACCATAAGAAGATAAAATCAAAAAGCTTAATGAATTTTAGATGCTTTATCCTACATATGTACAATAAGGTAGAGTTTCTTTTCCTATTTTGGATGAATATCTGACAGCTTACTAAGGATTGTTTAATATTGAGCCCAAAAAGAAACCCGCCCTTAAGATTGATTCATCTATTCCTTAAGAAATTTTTGAAGATATTCTCAAAATATGGGATGCTTACAATAATATGAATAAAATTGTAAGTGATATCCTACAAGAACAATAAATAGAATGTATATTCTTTACTTTTATTTTATTTAGCTTAGTAATAGTCAAATAATATAGGAACTTTAATTCATTTCCAAGACAATCATATATTATATAATCAAAAATCAAGATTACAGATATATATTACTTTATAACATAATCCTGAAGAGCTAATCTTATTTTTTTGTTATTTCTATTTAAAATAACTTATTGAAGATTTAGATATTGAGTAAATGCAAAAATAATAATATGTATTTTATTAATTTAATTAAGAAAATACCTTACTGGTAACTAATGGGATATTTTTGGTATACAAATAGACAGAGGTACTATGATTTAATAAGAGATGATGTTAAATCACTACCAACAAATATTTATAAATAAGGAATTCTTAATCTTCCAGATGATTTAATTGATTTTATCGATTATTCAGATGTAAAAAAATTGACAAAGCTTCTTATAGCATTGTCTGATGGAATAGAAACTTTAAAAAGAACTCAATTTCTTTATTAATATAGAACTGAAAATATACTTTCAAATAATAGAATGAAAACATAATTGGGAATGAAAATTAAAGAGTAAAGAAGTAAATAAATGGAAATAAATAAAGAAATAATTGAATCAGATGGAAATTATCAAATGGCAAAAGTAAGCTATTTAAATATATTTTTTAGTCTAAATTATTAGAAGAAGGTTTAAGCAGAGTAGAAACATTGAAATTTTAAAAAGAAATGGATATGACATAAAAGTAATCTTAAAAATTAAAATAATAATTGTATAAATTAGAAAAAGAAATAAATGTATTAACTGAGAGATATGATTAATAAGAAAAAGTATTGATATTTTATTTATATAAGGAATTAACTATCATGTAAATTACATCATTAGTGCTAAATCCCTCAGTATTTTTGGGATATGATAATAAGGGTAGTCAATATTATTTTTTTCTTTGGGAATCAGATAAGATTTTTATTTGTATGAAACATTCAATTATAGAAAGTGATGTTTCTTCATGGGGTTATTATGATCTGAATGATATAAATATATTAATGGAAATACTTTGTTAAAAGGGGGTTAGAGAAAATTAATTAAGGAACAATATTTTAGAATTACAAAGAGCCTAATTACTAATTGTGAATAAGGAAAAAGAGTAAGAAGAATAAAAGGAAGAAAGAGTTAGAAAGTCAGAAAATAATAGTGAAATAGATGATGAACAAAATCAAAATAATATGATTAAAGATTAGAAAATCAATAGTTTAAAAAATTTAGACATTGATATGTTAATATAAGAGTTTTTAAATATTGAAAGTATGTTAACTGAATATTTGAATTAAAAGAATTCAAGATGGTGCAACAGTGAAATTAGAAATACATTTTTATAGAGTTTTTAGAATGTTATTTAAAGAAAACCAGACAAAAATTATGATGAATCAGATTTAGCTCCTTTTTGTAAAGCGATTGAATTTTTTGTAGAAAACACATTGATGTAAGAAAAATTAGAGTTAAGACCAGAAGAAGAAATTTAAGGAGATGAGAAAATTTAATAATTTAATAATGATGATGAGTCATATTATAATTAAACTAGAAAAAGAAAAGTAATTGAAGATGATTCATCAGTTGAATAATTATTATAAACTGCAATTTAACAGTTAGAACAATTAGATATTGGAAAAGTGAGAATTAGAAAATTACCTATGAAATTGTTTGGCACATATTATGAAAGTGTGAGATTAAATTTGATAGAATAGTTAAGATAAGATTGTAATTTAGTGAAATTGAAAATATGTTTAGAAGTTCTTGGTTAAATAGTTAAAGACTATATAAATAGAAAAATAACACAATAAATAGTGACACATATACCTAAAAAAATAGAAGAAGCGCATATGAATAATAAATTTGTAGAACCTATTTTTGAATAAGAAATTAAAGGTTAAAACCTTAGATAGAGGATGAAACCATAATTATAACCAATTAACTATGAAAATAAATGGGAAGACAAATGTTAAAAATGTGGATAAGGTGGTAAAGTTATTTGTTGTGATACTTGTCCTAAAGTATTTCATACTAAGTGTTTAGGACTTAAAGAGGTACCAAAAGGAAAGTGGAATTGTTTAGTTTGTTTAAGTAATTTTGAAAGATAAGTCAAAACTAGGGCAACTATAAAAAAATTAGAAAATCAATGAACCATCGTTTTTATTATTAAATAATGATTTGTGATATAATTGATATTGCACTCCGTACACCTTCATAAAAAGAAAGAATTTCTTTTGCAAATACTACAGTCTCTCCAGCTAGTTCTAGTGATTCATCATTTGAATCAAAATAAATTCCGAAACTATAAATTCCAAGACCTTTACTAACTCAAGATGAAAAATTCGAAGCATCATTATGTTCATTTGGTATCATGATTTAACTATTAGACTTTAAATTATTAATGCCTGATGAAGGAAGTCAATTCAATCAAAAGTTACTTACTTAAGAACTAATTGAAATGAGGTTTATTTTAGATTAAGATGAAAGATAAATTTACTCAAAGCTCTAACCCTTTTATTACAGTTTAGAAATATCTGAAGAAAATGTATTTCACTATTATATATAGTAGATACTTAATGATGATAGAACTACTTTGATGCTTAAGAATATTCCTAAATATATGAGACCAAGTGATTTAAGGAATCTCCTAAATAAAGACTTTAAATCTTAATTTGATTTTCTTTATTTACCATCTGATAACAATGTAAATACTCATATTCTATAATTAGAAAGAAGGAAATTTAGGTTATGCATTTGTTAATTTTCTTTATCCAGAAACAGTATTAAAATTCTTTAAGAAATACAATAATAATAAATGGAATATAAATGATAAAGTAGACAAAGATATTTATTATAAAAGCAAATTTGCCAATTGAAGTATGCAAAATTACAAGGCAGAAGAGATCTTATGAATTAAATAGATGAATGACTCCATTTTCTATTGAAAATTTTGATGATTTTTTTGTTTTTTTTCAAATTTTGAGAGCAAACAACTTTACTAAATGCCAAAAAATTAAATTTATATTTAACAATAATCAATTTATATTAATTATAATCATTAAATATGAATAGGATCAAAAAATTTATTCATTAAAAAGGACTCCTACCTGCAAAACCATCACAAAATGATTTATTAAATGATGCAAGATCAGCCTTTTTAAAAAGATAAAAAACTAAAAAAGATTAAGAACAAATTGAGTTATTTATGTTATCATTAAGTTTTGTGTAGAAATTGAAAACTTAATATGGGCCACTTATTGTAGCTGATCTTTGTCGAAATATATCTTACTTGAGAATTCCTGCAGGTACACAAAGTAAATTATTAATTTAGTTTAGTAATTTAAATCAATAAAGAAAACAGAACCTTTTATGTAATCTTATCAGGTAAAGTAAGTATAAGCATTTATGTTCAAAAAGGCTAAAAGCGAAATTCATTGAGAATGGCATAGAACATTAACAATATAACTTAACATTCTAGTCTTTAACAAATTTAATAAGCTTCAACATAAGGTACGATAAACTCCTAATCATCAATAAAAGGTGAAGATGATTAATTTAGCCTTTAAGAGATTAAAACACTTGAATAAGGTGATTCCTTTGGAGAATTAGCCTTAATAAAAGATAATCTTAAAGCAACAGCAACAGTTACAACTAAATCAGATTGCGAGTTTGGATGTTTAACTAGAAAACAATATATAGATATTTTAGGAAAAATCAGTAAAGTTATTATTATATTGAGTTTAGAATTTACATCATGAAAAACTAGTGTTTCTTTAAACGATTCCTCCACTAAAGTAATGGAATGATGAAGATTTAAAATAATTATCCTATTATTTGGTGTTGAAACATTACGTTAGAAATTAAATTGCTGTAGGAGAAGGGGCAGATAATTCTTAAGTATTTGTTGTAAAATATGGAGTATTTCATGTTTTGAAACAATATCAAGGATAAAAATTAATTTTAAGTGAACTTTAAGAATCAGAAATTTTTTATTAACATCCTAGTGAATTGAAATATAAATTTTCACTTCGATGTGCCTCTGATGGTTCTAGTCTATATGAATTCTCACATTATGACTTTAAAAAATATGCAGAAAATAATAATTTAGAAGATTTCATAAATTTAGAAAAATAAAAATAAAATTGGAGAATGATAAAATTTGAAGAAAGAGTTTCTGATGTTAAAGATGTACATCATTAAGAATCAGAACTTATTGAAACTAAAATAGAATTTAAGAAAACAATTAAATTATATGAAGATCTTAAAATTAGATGTAACTCTGCTAAAAGAAAAAAAACTCCTTTTAAAGTTGAAGAAAATGCTATTTAAAAAACTTAAAGATAGGCTTAAATGGCACTTAAGAAAAATTAAATTCTTAGATTTGGAGATGATTCAAGCGAAAATTCTTTCACACTTCCAGCTATAAGAAGCACTTCAAGAAAAAAGATTTATGTAGATTTAATTGATACAGAAAAGAGCTTTGAAACGCTAGATTAATATAATATTGGGGATTGTGAAAAATATTAATTATATTTTGACCATTCACATCCTTGGAGAAATTTAAATCAAAAAAAAAAAACATTAAATTGATAATTTAATAGCTTAACTAAATTTTTCATTTTAAACTCTTCATTACTGTATTAGCAAATTTTTAAATAAAATCTCTTAGATCTGTATTTAAATTATTGAAGTCATTTCTAAATTAAGAAAATTTCATACTCAATCTATGATCCTGAAATCTTTCCTAATTCATCTATTCCTCTTATTAGAACTCTCATTTACTTTAAATCAGTGTTTTTTTTATTCTAAATTAAATTTCTATACATATTCTATTTTCGAATTAGCTATCATTAATAATCAAAAAAATACCTTTAATATTTTAACTCCTTTTCAAAGATTGACCTCTGACTATCTTTCAAAATTGCAGTTCTATTTTACTATTAATTCTTTTCCAAATCTTTTTGTTATTTTTAAATATACTCTTAACATTTTTAGATCTGATTTATATATTATTAATTTTAATAATACTGTTTTTCATCATTTTCATACCTTTTGATTCTTAATTTCAACTTTCTAATTAATAGTAAAAACATATTAAATATTAAAATTTTTCTCTTTAAAACCAAAATTCATTATGTTAAAATTTAGAGTTCCTTGATTATTAAGAATATTAATTACCCTTCATCTTAGTAAAGAATTAAATTTTTTGATTGTAAATTTTAAAATGGTTATTGAAATCATGATTAGGTTGCCAAATTGTTATGCTGTTTATTCTTATTTAATTTCTTATTGAACCTCACTCGCTAATTATTAGTTATTGGGTTCTTCTCCTTATAATGAACTTCTTGCAAAGATCTCACTTTTTCTCTAAGAAGAAGGTTATTATTAATAAGGTGTTGTAGTTTTAATCATTGAATAAGATTTACCTGGTAATTGTTTAACAGACATTCTATTTGTCTCAGATTGATCTTCACTCATAAATTAATTATAAAATAATTTTCGATTCTAAACGCATTCTAATAGTCTGAAAATAATTTTTTACAACAAATGACTAAGGAATATTACGAAATGAATAAAAGGAAATTCATTAAAGCTATTTTTCTAATAACAAATGCCTAGATTAATTAATATAACTATGAAACAAAAATATTTATACTCTCCACAACATTAAAGCAATAGTTTTAGTCGGTTTAATAGCAAATAAGATCTTTGTATAGATTCCTCATATATTTCAAAATATTTAGGACAACAAAAATAAGTACCTTCTCCTAAAAAATTTATGTCAACTTTTTACTCAAATAGATTTGAAACAAATGCTCATAATTCCCCAATAAGTGATAGAAGTTAAAGCTACAATTAATATAAGCAATTAACTAAAAATTATTTTCAAAAAAAATATTTATTATTGACATCTGGCAATGAAAAAAATATTAAAGCATGGAGAAATTATTTAATTAGTAGTTTAAGGAAAAAAATTGAAGACTTTTTTAATGTTAAAAAACTCATTATTTCACCTTAAGATAGGGGAGTAAAACTGAAATAAAGACGAGTTAACTATTATTTGAGTGATGAAATTCTTGCTTTAAATGAAATTGTTAAATAAAAAGTTCCTTTTATTGATTTAATCTAAGAACAGGATAAATTAATCAAAAAAAATTATCACTATCTTAAGAATTCTGAGAATGAAGATTATGATTCTAAGTATGAGTATTTTATTTATAAGAATGCAGAGAATGATATAATAATATGAAGTTATAATTGATCGAATATAACGAGAAGCATTTAAAATAAATTTGCCTAATTATATTCAAGTTAAAATGGAGAATTATAATGACTTTTATGATGTAAATTAAAAAATTGGAAATCCATATTTCAGTTCTAAATTATATCAATCATGCTAATAATTTTAATTTTAAAGTAAAACATTAGTAAAGAATTCTCAATAAGTATCTATTGTTGATTATTGTTAAAATTCAATGAATAATAATCCTATTTAAAATGAAATCAAAATAGACCAGCAAAATATTTCAAATTTATAAAAAAAATAAAGTTTATAATCAAATAAATAATCGCCTGATCTTATTAAAAATGAATAAATTTCTTATAATGATTTAGAGGAAGAAATCTAAGAGCCAAAATAAAGTTAGAAATAAAAGTAAGATAGAAAAAAATGTGTGAAACATAATTATAGGATAAAAAAAAAGTCACATGAATTTCAAGAACATTAATAGATTAATAATATTTATAGTAATTTATCGGATCATCGATTTGTTGATTATATGCTCAGTCTTAATGAAGTTTATGATTGTGATTTAGAACAATTTAAAGTTCCTTAAAGAATTGAAAATGAATAATTTAATGTTTTAAATTTAGATGAATATGAATTTGTGGATACTGAAGAAGAGAAAGTATATTAAACTTTAATTTAATGGAATGATTATTATTTACTAAAATATTAATGAATTTAATTGATTCTTTATCAAATGAATTCCAACAACTTTTGAATGACTAAAAGAAAAATCAAGTTTTGAAACCACTTATTTAAGGAATTATAGATGATATCAAGAAACACAAGTCTTAACAAAATTTACCCATTTAAGAAATCATAAAAATTCTTGTTAGACTTCCTGAAAATAAAAGCAATTAAACATCTGGAATAGCTCTAAATATAATTTTAAAACTATTTAATACAACTTTATTGCAAGAAGTAATTTAATTTATATTTTAGGCAGACCTTCATCCCTTATTACATTCTCTTTATTTACTTAAAGATGAAATAATTGAAAATGTGTAATTAAAATTAGTATAATGCAGTGTACATCTAATTCATAAAGAAATTGTAAATATCAATAATCCTGAATGCATAGAGAAAGTAATCATGAGTCTTAATTTAGCTAATTTGTATATTTTTTACATTGGTAATTTCAAAAAATCCAATCATCCAAACTACCTCAATGACAGGTTTGATGAAAATAATAGATTTTCTTTATTCATAATACAGCTAAAAGCCTCATAGAAATGGAGTTCTGATATTTTTGCAATTAATTCAAGGAATGAAAGGATAGAAGGTGCCTTTTGTTGTATAACATTAATATTCTAAAGGAATATGTAGAGATATGTTATTTTAAATTATCTAAAACTTGGGACCTTTTTTAAATAAAGATGAACAGCTAAGCAAAATAATTGAAGAAGTTTCAGCGATCATTTATGAAGAAATGAGTTTAGATTCTGCAGATGTTTAATTTAGTAATTTTAAATATAATTTTAGATGCAAGAAGAATAAGGGATTCATTTAGAATCATTACCATTTTATAAAGGGACATATCTTTACTTAAACATATTAGCCTATTATTTACTAGATCTCCATTATATGGTTATGTTAGATATTGGATTTTAGAGGGAATTTTGACTATATTACAAAATCCTAAATTAGTTATGCTATTATATTAAGGAGCTTAATAGGATGAATAATAATCATAATAACAGCAATAGTCTACTTTTTTACAGCATTTAGTTTTTATTATCAAATTATCAACAGAATAGGATCCTTAATATACAATAAATTAATCCACTTAATAATAAACATATTCAAAGTAAAAAATGTTATATGAATAAAATATTTTAAATTTAACAGAGATTCCCATATATAATAAAGCATAATTTATCCAAAAATCAAGTATATTTTCTAAAAGTATCAATAGTTGAATGCATTTCTCATTATACTGATTCCCTTTTGCAAATTGCATATGATAAATAAATTGTATTATTTAATCTCAATTACAAATTGTCTCAATCTAAAATATTTATAGAAGATAATTGTAAAGAAGTAAATCAAATAATTGAGACAACCTAACAATTAACTTTGAAAACAATATAAAATCTTATGATAAACTTGAATGACGAAATCTAGTATTAAAGTATTTTAAATTCAATATAAACTTGGATTAATTTATCTGGTTCTTTAGGTTAAAATAAAACGAGAGATGTTTATATAAAATTTTTAAGTAGCCTGTGTGTAGCCAAACAAAATGCCAGTTTGACTAAAAATTAATTATAAAGTGCAAAAACATTATTTAATATAGCATAATTAGGAAGTAATTTCTTAAATTAATCTTAGATTTGCTAGATGTTAAATCATGGTATATAATAATGAAGGCTATGCAATAATTCGATTCACTCCTTTAAAAATCGTAGACCTAAAATGTAATTCAATAAGATTCCCATCCTGAAATTTATTAATAGGAAATAGCATTATTAAATAATATTTTAGATGGCTTATTTTAATCAAGTAATGTCTATGAAGATGCTAATTTGCTTCATATGATTGAAGCAATAAATTAAGTGACATTAAGTCTAATGGAATAATTTAACAATGTCTAAAATTTAGTTGATTCTAAGCCTATTCAATTTGGATTATAAAAGATTCATTAAATAACAAAATAAAATTGGTATAGAATTCATAAATTTTGGGATTTTATTACTGGACATTTTTTATGCTTAGTTAACTATAAACATAAAGCATTTAGGGAATCTGCTTTAGAAATATTTTCTCAAATAGTTTAATAGGGATTTAGTTATTTTTTAAGACCAGATTAAAGTCTTTGTTGGGAAGGAGATAGTTGGTAATCTCAATTATTAAGTCCTATTCAATAAATGATCAATATTCACTATGCTGATGTCAAAGAAACTTTGTTGAATATAATTTTTAAATTGATATAAAATAATGGACATGAATTGAACATTTTAGGATTTAATACAATAATTGAAATTTTATTAATCAGTTGTGATGAGACTGAACCCGCAGGATATGTTAATATTGGTTTTCATATTTTGGAATTATTAATAGGGTAATTTATGCATTTGTTAGATCCTAAGACAACAAGAAGATTATTACCTTTAATAAAATAATTTAGATAAAGAACTACAGAATAAAATATTAGTTATGTGTCAGTTGGTCTAATCTGGCAATTAGCAGATAATTTAAATAAAATTTGTACAAATCAAACATCATAAACTGAAGTGGAAGAATTATGGACTGTTGTTTTATAGAGTTTAAAAGATTTATCATTAGATAATGCACCAGATGTTAGATAATCAGCTTTACATATTATTATTTAAATTATCTTAATTAATTGTGGTTCATTTAGGATTAACTTTTAAATAGGTTTGTTTAAAAACTTAATATTTAAGATTTTGGATGATTTGATAGGAAGAGTTGCTTAATTATAATAATTATAAGTAATTTTTCATATGAAACTACCAAAATATTTAAAGGAAGAAGACTTTCCTAAATTTACTAAATTATCTGAATAGGATTTTTAAACTTCTATGAAAACTTAAAATGAAGCAATATTAGCTTGGGAAGAAACTCTTAAAATTATGATTTAAAATTTAACAAAATTTTTGAAAAAGATTGGTTAATAAGATGATTAAGAATTTAAATAATAAGCATAACAATTGTATAATGAGACTTTTATTAGATTAATTATTTCATTTAAAATTAATAATTTAGATCTTAGATGGGAAATTATACGTTTAATAAAAGAAAATACAGAAATAATGATTGAAAAAAGTTTGGTTGAACAATTTGATTGGGCTAAAGAATTTATCATGTGTATATAAGAATTTATAGGTTAAAAGATTTAAGATAATAGAGATGTGAAAACATTAATCAATAAAATTTTACCTGAAGTTTGTGAATTATATGTATTATTTCTTAAAGCTCATAATAAAAATAAAGAATTCTTTCCAGTAGAATTAATGGATGATCTATACGAAAGTTATTAAGCAATCGTTGATTTACCAATTAATATTGAGAACATTTCAAATATTAAAATATGGATGGATGAAAAATAATTACATGATTTTGCCGAAGACTTTTATGTACATCTTGATGATTAGAAGGATAAATCTAAATTCTATGGTTTTCTTTTATTCAATATGAAGAAGGAAGGAGGATTGACTAAATTATAAGATCTAGTCATTCTAAAATATACATAATTATTGAGTAAATATATATAAGATAAATAATTAACTGATAATGAGCTTATCAAATAATTTATTCAAATTTGTTTAATACAACTATCAATTAGATAAAATTAGAATAAAGTTAATAATGTTAAAAATTATAATAAAACTAATAAACCATTATGGGTTTAGGTCTTACCATTGATTATTGATACAATAGAATTTTGTTAGAATGATGAGTATGTTTAGCTTTTATCTGAATAACTTAACTTTACTTAATAATGGGATAAAATAATAAGTATTGATGGATTAAAGAGCTGCATTGATGTCGAACTATAAATTTGTGAATGGCTTCTTTCATAAAATATTTTGGATAGAGAAATTATAAATTATTGGGAACTATTATCTAGAAATATTAATTTATATTAGTTGGAAGATCTGTTTTATGATACAAGATTAAAATTGATGAATATTGTATTCAAGAAACCAAAAAATTTAACTACTTTAAATTAAATCTGTTAATCCTTAGTAACTTAATTTATGAAGGATGAATATATGTCAGGATCAATGCCATTAAGTAGAAAAAGAGTTTAAGAAATAATTTAATTATTATTAGAATTATAATAATTAAAAGATTTGACATTATAACCACATCCATTACTCTAAGTTTTTGAATGTTTAGTTGAATTAATAACAACTAGAGAAATTGATATCAAATAACCTTTATAAAATTTATTTAAGTCTGTTGCATTAAAAATAAGATCACATAAATGAGTTAAATATAAAATATACATTCATAAAATAAAACGCTGCAATTTTCTTGATGAAATAATTTACCAATATGAAGTTAAATTTTTCTATTTTTTAAAAATTATTTCTTCTATTTATAGTTAATCTTTTAATTTCTGATAAGAAATTTACTTCAAATCGTTTTGTAAAGAAATATTATCTTAAATTAACAACAATTTATTAGAATAATAATTTCTTTTACGCTAATACTTATCAAAGTTAATTTCTATTTAAATATTGTTTTATCTAAAGACTTCATTATAAAAATTAATATTAAGGTTTTTATAAAATATTTGAAAAATATTTCTTAAATCAATATTTGAAATCTTTAAAGAACTCACTCATTAATGAAAAACTAAATCAAAATAATTTTCAAACCTTAAACATTATGAAATGAAAATCAGGATAAGGAAATAAATTAAAAGGAATTCTCAACCATAATTTGATAAAATTATTTGATAAATTTTTTACAAAATAATATTTTGTATAGCTGAAATTTTTATTCTAAACATTAATGTGATTTTAGAAGTTTGTTCTAGCCTAAAAAAAATTGATGTTTTCTTAAAAGCAAGTTTTTAACTAAATAAAATACAATAATTAATTAAATTAACTGATAACTTTCTCTTTATAAATATTACGAATATAATCTAGTTCATTAGAGCAATTTTATTTTCCAATTTTTTTTATTGGATTGCTGAAAATAAAATTTTACATCAATTTAAATTATATCGTTGAGAATTTTAAATATTTTTTTCCAAATCAACCTAAAAATGGTGGTTATTTAAATAAACTATCAGAGCTTTGGAATAAGGATTCTTCTGAAAACAAGAAAAAAAAAGAAATAAGGCTAATTTAAATAATTACAAAATCATTATAATTAATACTTAATATCATATTTATTTAAAATTTTTTTAGTAAGTTAATGATCATTTGTTTATCATAGTGTTGAAATAATTGAAATTTTTTTTTTATTGCCATAATATAATGAGTTAATTTAAAATCTAGATATTATTTATTCAAGATGGTCTTTCATCTATTTAAATAATAAAACAAATAATATTTAATTTCTATTGTTTTTTAGTCTCTTCAAATTAGTTCTGTAAAATTTCATTAATTAATAAGTCCTTATATCATCAAAAAATGTAATAATTTTTTATGGATTGTGTTAATAATTATAGAATTATGGCATATTAAAAATGGAATAAAGTACTAGATTAGGAAATTATGATTTTAGAATTATCCATCATAATAAAATAAAAAAAGAATGTGAAAAAAGCTATTGTTATCTTTAAAAGAGATGAGATAACGAATAACAGTATAAAATAGCATTTTAAAGGACAATCAGATGAATATGTTTTTATTTGAATAAATTATACTATATTTCAGTTTTTACAATCAGGGCATATATATTTATTAAGTTTATCGGCTTAGTCTTATGTTAGCCCCACACATTTTAGATGACACCATTTTTAACAAACATCACAAAATATATATCTAATTTAGTATAAGTTGATACTTTAAATCTGGATTGGCGGGCTTATGGCATATGCAAACTTATTTCCATTATTCGATAGAGGGTTGTAGTTTTCTGTCAATAAATGATGCTCTTGTAAAGTAAATATTATCATTCAACTCTTCAATTTAATCATATTCTTCATAACTGAGAATAATTGCTAGTCCTACAATACTCTCTATTTCTATATAGTCAAATTCATTAGTTTTGAAAACTTCATTTTCAGAAATGCAATCCATCTATTCTTTTGGTAAACCATAAAGTTCACTTTTCCTATAAAACCATTGTACTTTGATTAAAGGTATGCAATTATCTTCATCATCATAGAGTTTAACTATTTTAATAAGTTTAGCCACATATTCTGATCGATTGTCCCCTTTGATGCATAAGTTTTATCCAACTCTATAGATCTAATCCTCATACTTTAACTTTTTGTAATTTGTTCTAGAATAGTAAAATAGTCTAACCTTGACTTATTCTAATTTTATAAAATCCTCACCACTTATTTAAAATCTTTTCTTCTAAGTAAATTTTGTATATTGAATTATCTCTTTAGAGGAATACAATCATCTTTAAGAGAGGAGGTAGAAGAAATTCTTTGTTCCTATGATACTGACATATTTATATCAATTTGATATTTAAAATAAAATTAATCAAATTTTTAGTTGCTACTAAATCTTTATATACCAGGGTTATTATAACAAAAGGACTTATGATTTATATAAAATTTCCCATAACAGATGATAGTATTAATCGATAACTGTAAATACAAAAAAATATTTAATAAATAGGATTTTGTTTTTAAAATATTCGTTTTCAATAAAAAACAATTATGCAGAAAAAATTTTTACAGTTTTTATTACAATGTATACTTGATATTAATCTGATTTCTTACTATTAGCTTCAGTTTCACAACAAGAAGTAAGAGTATCTAATCTAATTTAGTGTTATACATTCTATAATAAATATTACATATTATATGAACAAATATTTAATATTTAATATTTAATATAATTAATAGTATTAATAAGTTTATATTAGAAATTTATAATTCAATTAAATTAATTTCTATGGTATATTAAAAGAATGGTAGGTAAAATAAAAAAGAAGATACCAGAAACTTATCATTCTAAAATTAATAAATCATCTATTTTCAAATTTTTTAAGAGTATCTAACACTTTTAAACTATTAAAATTTTTGCTGATTTTTACTTATTATTTTTATGTAAAAAATTAAAGCCTTTTTAAGAATTTTAAAGAAAATTAAATTTGAGATTATAAAAATACTTTTTAATATTATAAAAAAAAGAAAAATAGACTTTTAGATAAATACTTGGTTAAAATTTGTTTAAATGAATAATCACTTAATAAAATATCTGAAATGATTGTTTTCTGGAATTTAACTAAAGTTTCTTTTTTATTTTTAATTTAAGAAGTTGTTGCCAAATTAAGAATAAAAATTTATTAAAATAAAATAATTTAACAGAATGGGTTAAACAAATTCATAAAATTTATAACAATCAAAAGTAGATGTCCCTAAGATTAATCAATTGTAATTTTGGAAGTAATCAACAGATATCAGATATGGAGAAATAAGAATATTCAAAACATAAGATTAACATGCAGTAGCTGTTAAAGATCATATTTTTTAAGATGATGGATAATGGAATTAATTTAAAATAGTTTAAGAGAAACAAATGGGAAATGTAAATTATCATACTAAATAAAAATAGAAGTAGAGTACTCCTTTCTTAATTTAAATGATTGATTTATAACATGTTACAGAAAAGGAACTTTGCACTCAATTAACTTAAGCTCATAGTGTATATGAATATTTTGATGAATACTTGGAAAGAGTAATAAATGAATTAAGTGAAACAAAATAATATTTTGAAGAAATTGAAATTGTTGCTATGTTACATTGTACAGTAATCAAATGATATATAAATTAGTTAATGGCTTTGTAAAGATTAAATGATTAATAAAAATAACATGGTGACATTAGACCATTGACAATAAGTGTAACATCTTATGCAAAAAGAAGTCAATTTCGTTAGAATCATCCATTTTCAGTTTTTAAATTAACTGATATTTAAGAAATGACAGATATGAATGCATATAGAAGATGTATAGCTAAATAATAGGGTTAATACAATTTAAGTCCAGAATAATTGTCATCTCTTAAATAGAAAGTCTTAAAGTTAAATATTGATTAAAATAAATCAGATGTATTTTGTATAGGTTTAACAGCCTTATAAATGGCCACTTTAAGTTTTGTCTAAGACATTTATGATTTATAAAGCTATACTTTAAATATGGAAAAGTTTAATGATCATTTATTTTTACTGAAATCTTAATATAGTTCTAATCTATATGAAATAGTTGAATCTTTACTTGTTATGGCTCCTGATAATAGACCGAATCCTAAATAAGCTCATGATTTATTACATAACTATGGATTTTAATTAGAGGATTATTTTAGAGTAATATTATGTAATTTAGTTATCTTAGTCCTCTACTATTGCAGAATTTATACCATCTTATTCGATTGATTTCAAAGAGTAAAATAATGGATATGTTAAACAAAAGTAAAGGGTTGTTGATTAGTAATTACATTCATTGTAAAATTAAGATCCAAATAATTTATATAACTAAGTTGAAAATATTGAATAAAGGGCTAAATTGGCTTTAAAAAGAAGTTAGGATGCTTAGATTAGATTTTAAAAATCTCCTTAGAAAAAATTTAAAATACCTATTCCTAATTGGGAACCAACAAAAAGCCTATAATAATATTCTAATCTATCTCCAATTACTTTAGAAGAGATTCTTCCTTTACAAAATAAGCAAATGAATATTTAAAGTGATTAAATCATTATTCAGGATCCTCCTTCTAATAGACAATCTTTTTTCAAAAATTTAACTAATCCTTAATAATATCAATAACATCATTATAATGAACATGAATAAATAATGCATAATGATGATGAATATGCATATAATCATCAAGAAATAGATGAATAACCAAAATAAAGTTTAGTTGAATAAGTTGAATTAACAAATTCTAATTTAAAAACTCTTTAACAAAAACCTATTACAAATTAGTATGATAATAATTTATTTTAATAATAATCATTATTTTAATCAATTAACACTGATTAAAAGAAATATCCTTAATAATAATATTAATAATAATAATAACAAGAGTAATAATAATAATAATAATAATTTTAATAATAATAATAATAAACATATTCTTAAATTTAATAATAATCCTATCAATACTCAAATCAAATATAATCAAAATAATTATAAAACATTGAATAACAATCATAAGCTCGATCATCAACCTACAACTATCCTTAAAATTAACTAAATGAAAGTGTTAATGATCATTAAAGATCTCCTTATGCTTTATAATAAAGATAATCTTTAGCATTATCATAAGACAAAGTGATTACTTAATAGTTAACAGGATAATAGGTTGAATAAACACTTTAAAATCTTTAAAATAGATAGTCAATTCGTTAAGATTCTTTTGGTGTTGGATCTTAAAGACCATAGTAACCATTAGTAGTTCCAAAATCTCCAGAAATAGAGCCTAAGAATATTTTTATATAATTTGAATAAGAAAAATTAACTTAATAAAATTAAAGATCTCCTATTTAGCCTCTTGAAAGAATTGATGATGATGAATAAGAGCCTAATTATAATCCTCATTTAACTGAATCTAATGACTCATAATAAGCAATATCAATATAGAGTAAACCATAAAGCATGAGAGGAACAATGGTAGGTAGTTAAACACATTTAAAGGTTCCTTCCTCTGTTACATCTAAGCAATAACGTCCTACAGTCTAAAAATAATAAACTACTTCATAGAAAAATATTTACAATCTTTCATAAAAGAAAAGTAGTAAAATAATAAAAAAATGAACTTTTATTATTTATATATATTAAAAATTTTAAATTTTAAAATATGTATCCAAAAAATTCAAATAGAAATTCATATTGAAGTATTAGATATTTTACATTAAATTATTCCTTTATTTAGAGTTTTTATGTTCCCTTTTAAATATATTTAAAGAAATAAGTCTATTTTACTATAGAATAAAATTAATTTATATTAAATAAAAATTTTATTTTTTTATGCATTTTGTAATGAGGGAAACACGAATTGTTTGTTTTAATCATATTTTAACTGAAGGTCTTACTATTGTGGGAGAATTAACAGTATAATGAAAGACTTTAGAATTCAAATGTAAATAGGATATTGATTTTTCAAAGAATAAAAAGTGGTTTAGAAAGGAGAAAGTAAAAATTTATTGATTCAGCAATTTAAATTTATAATGAAAAATAACTAATATTTAAATATATACATAAGGATCTCAACTATTTATATACATAAAATACAATTCAGATAATGAAGAATTATCTGAGAAGATTAATAATTATCTATGACATAATTATTAATATATTATATATTATATATCTTATGAATTAAATGAAAATTGTGTTAATAACCATATTGGAAATATACAAACATAAAAATTTATAAAGTAAAAATAATTTGAATATCTTCTAATTAATTTTATATTGTACTTTATAAATTAAAATTATGGGAATTTCTAGAAGACAATAGAAATTAATCTAACATAGAAGAAAGCTGATGAGAAAAAGTCCTCTTAAAAGTGAATTCATTAAGAAATTCTATTACTAAAAAATAGAAAGAGGGAGAGAAATTTATTTAGGAAGTTATTCAAAATATTAGGACTTTTGGAAAAAACGAATTTTCTAAAGCTAAAGATATTAAAAAAAAAGAAAATGGAAAAACATATTTGGTGTTTTATGGGTTTAAAAACAAACAATTGAGAATATACTTAAGATTCAATTTTAAGAAATCATCCAAAAAATTAAAGTAAAAATTATAAATTATAAAATAGCTATATATAAATAGAAGACAACTTTTCATTATTTATGTAGTTGTAAAGTATTACTTAACTTTCATTCGTCCTCATCTTCTACATTCATAATAAAACTTTATTTTTTTTATTTAGCGCGTGGCGGTTTTTACTTTTAATAAAAGTTGAAGTGGTAAAAGTTCAATTTCGAATGTGCTTTTGAACTAGGAGAAAGCAAATTTAAAGATTATTTACCAATTTAGCAAATAAACTTTAAAGAAGATAGTAGAAGGGAATACGTTTGAGGTCTAAATATTGCAAATATATAAATTAAAATAAAAATGAGTAAAAATATTACATTTAATTTAATCATCATTTTTTTTATATGGTGGGTCCTGAAGAAACCTTGAAAACATAAGTATATAAAGCTTATCATTGGCGCTGGTTAGTTCTATTCGCTTTTTGCACATTCAGGTACTTTTTATTTATAAGTTATGTTTTTCAAATGCACTTGGATTTGTATAATATTCTCCAATACTTACTCTAGCAGCCAAATATTATAGTGTTACTGATTAAGATATTGTATGGTTTAGCAATTGCTACTATATTACATATGTCGCATTTTGTCTACTTTCTATACGGCCTCTTGAAAAAAGATTAGATTTATCTCTATTTCTTGCAGCATTTTTAAGTGCTTTAGGTAACAATTATATTAAAATAGTTTAGGCTCATGGTTTATTTATATAGCTGAATAAACGTATTCTTTTGCATTATTGGGATTTATTTTAATAGGAATGGGTTAAATATTTATTTTAGCAGCACCAGCATGTAAATTTATTAGATTAATCTAATAGATATCTCAGAAAGATGGTTTCCGATGCATGAAAGAAATATATCCACAAGTTTAGGTAGTTTTTTCAGTTTGGTCGGATTAAATTTTTCAATCGTATATGCTTCAATCACATTTTAAAATGTTACTGATTAAGATGAGATTATGTATGAGATAGATTTGATGAATTTATTATTCGCTATATTTACAACTATGGCATTTTTATTTTGTGTAATAATGATTAGAAATAAACCAGCTAATCCTCCATCAATATCAGCTGTAAGAATGAATATATATATATAAGGCAACCGAAAAAATGCTTATTTTACCATCTATCAAAAGAGCATTTAATAGTTTTGAATCAATAATGGATTTAATGACATTTTCTATGTTTATTGGAGTTTCTTGGTCATATATGGTTGTAATGACAATTCTTTTGACTCCATTTAATTATACAACTGAATAAATAGGCTACGTAAGTATTGTTTATGCAGCTACTGGAGCTGTTGGTGGTATTTTAGCAAGTATCTATGTGGATTATTAAATCAAAAATAACACAAAACCTCATTATGATTATTTAATAAAAGGTTTTTTGACAATAGGAGTGTTAGGAATTTTAATAAAGGCATTAGTAATAAATTATGTTGATGATACAGCAATTGTAGTTTTGTCAGGAATCATTGGTTTTGGATTAAATTCATTTCTACCATTAGCAATGTAGTGTTATATTGAGAAACTCTTTCCATCATTTGAATTAGTTTTGACTACAGCCATTATGCAAATGTCAAATGTAAATTTATTACTTATTAATCTAAAGTTATTTGGATTCATCTTGAATTATATATTGATTTTAGATGTGTTTCTTGATTTTGGATTGTGGGTCATTTTGATAGCTATAGCACCATTTTATTTTTATTTAATATTTGGTTTTAAGACAAAGTTCCTTAGATTGGAAATGGAGTAACAATGAGCTGTCCTTTGATTAAGTTTATTTGTTTTTTCCTCACAATTTTTATCTAATTTTTTTAAGAATTTTCCATTAAAAGTTAATTCAAAAAGGTTATACATTTAGTTTCAAAGAATATAACATTAAAAGTAAAGATGACTTGCATTATTGTATTATATGTTTAGATTATGTAATGTTTTGGGGTTTTTTCAGGTTAGTATAAATTTTTGATTGAAAATTTGAGGATTTTTGTTTATTTTTTTATATTAGCTTTAATATCATTAATTTTTTTTTGGCAGTATGTTTTAAAGGATAAACCATATATTCATTTTAATAATTCTAACTTAAAAAATTGAAATTAATTATTAACAGCTATTTTGAAGTTGATTTTTCTGATTCATAAAACAATCTCTAAGTATTTAGAAAATTTTATGAAATTAGTTAACTTGAGTTTTTCCCTTTTAAACTAATATTTCAAAAAAAAAGATGAAATTATTAAAGAAATAGAGTATATAAATTTATTCCACTCTATAATTAATACTGTTACTTTTAAATTATGTGTTTATTAATCTTTAAAAATAAATCACCATCTTCTCATTCTTTTTTAATTGTAATTATGAAATAATTAAAATGAATTTAATTGCCACTTTGATAATTGCTTAATTGTTTTAAATTAAATTCAAATATTTTATTTATTTTGATTCATAACTTCTGGGATTTTTTAATATTGAATTATATTATTTTATCTGAGATATTTTTATTATTTTTGTTGAATTGGTTATTGTGTCTATATTTTATTAATGCCATGTTTTTTGATTATAAAATTATCATTTAAATAAAATAAATCTTGAAAAATTATCAAAAACATATTGTTTTTTTTTTGGATAATTTAAATTTCTAAAATATTTTTTTGATGATCTAAACATCAAGAAAAATAAAATAATTAATAAAGTCTTCGGATGTGATTATTTATGTGAATAATTATTCATTATTTCTAATTATTTTATTTGATCCAATTAATAAATTGAATATTTGGCTGAAAGTATATTTTGTATAATATAAAGAAGTCAAATTAAAATTAAAACTTAAAAAACACAAGTGATTAAAATAATATTGAAAAAGAACTCAGAGCTTTTGTAAATTTTTATGATATTAAGTAAATCGTCTTTTTCTTGAATATGTCTGGAAATTTCAGTCTAATACTGCAACAACTAGGTTTTAAAATATAAGAACTTGTTAAATTCTATCAGAGTGGTACTTTTTTAACATAGTTTTATTGAAAATTGGTTTATTTATTTGGTATATCGACTACATTTAAATCTTTCAAATATTATTTAGAAAAGCTTTCATGAATAAGCATCTAAGAGTTAACTTTAGATTGAAGTATTTTATTGTAGGGACCCATCTTAAGCAATTATTATAAATCTTGCACTACAATTGATCAAAGTATAATACTTTAAAATTTTTTAGTAAGATGATCTAATGATTCTTGATTTTTTCCTACAATTTTAATCTATGAACTTGTAAATCTTCTATGAAAATTTTATGATTTTTATTTTTGAGGTTGAGGACTAATTGTTTACTTGTGTAACTAATCTTTCATAAATTATTAGATATCTATTTTAGTATACATAAAAATAATAAATAAACAATTTAATTAATGAAAAAGGGAGCACCAAAATATTAAAACAAAATTGGATTCAAAATGAGATTTCATGATCATTACACAGAGAAGGTATAGAATGCCTCATTAGACAGGTACACTTTTTATATAAATATAGGTTATGTGAATTATGTTTAGCTTAAATCTAATGGAAAATTAAATATGGTAAATATAAGACTCCTCATGATTTATCAAGATGTTCTAAATGTGAAAAGAAAAATATCTTTAAAGCATATAGAAGATTATGTGATGTATGTTCTGATGAATTGAAACAATGTTCAAAATGTACAGAACCTATTGATATTAATGATGAAAGTTCAAGTGGAGAAGAAATGGATGAAACATTAAAATGTTTAAGAGAAAGATCAAAAAGAACTATTCTTAGAAAAATTGAAAAAGGTAATAAATTCTTTTTTTAATCTAGGGGACATTTCATGGGATAAACATAATAAAAAATTTATTGATAATGATACTGGAGAATAAGTTATTGTTCAATTCAAAAAAGATTATATTGATGAAGAAGATGAACAATTATGGGAGGATAATGATAGTGATGATGATAATGATGATAATGATGATAATGATGATGAAGATGATGAAGATGATGAAAATGATGATGATGAGAAAAATAAGAATGACAACGAACAAAATAAAAATTATAAAAATTAACAAAAACATGTTTAAATCTAGTAACAATAAAAAGTACAAAAAAAATAGAAATAATAATCAAAATTATAAAAAAATAAAAAAGTTTAATCTAGTGATGATGATTCATTTAGTGATGATGATTCAGATGATTAAAACTAATTCAAATAAATTTAATAAACAATACAAAAAGATCAATCTGTTTATTCTGATGGATCAAATGAGTAAGAAAAAATAATTAGAAAAGAGAAAAATTTTAGATTTTATTTTGATGAGAAATATCAACTAGAATAAGATGAATGAATAAAAAATTCTATTATTTTTGTGCTTTATTCAATTATTTTAAAATTCCCTTTTATATTCTTTATAGTCTCTTGTTTTTCAAAGTAATTCTATTTCAAATTACAATGAAATTATGAGAGAATTTAATAAATTCAAAATCAAAAGAATAATTTAATTTCAATATTCTTTATAGTTTGAAACAAAAATTATACAAGACATTCTTTAGAATCCACCTTTTCATCAAATATTTACTTTTGATTGTTTTACAAAATCTTACTTCCTAAACTAATAATTGATAAAATTATTACTTAATCAACTTTTATATATTTACTTTTTTTCTTTTCTACTCTGGTTAAATTGAAAATTCTCGAATTCTCAAATCCATAGTAAACATCTCCTTGATTTTAATAACATTTAGTATAATATCTATATACATGTCTTTTTTTTAAATAAAAACAATAATATTATTAATATGATCTAAATTCTTCTAATCCAAACCTACTATATTTTGGAGGTAATTAAGACATTAAACCTTTTTTTTATACTATCTTGTACCTTTCCAATACATCTTCAATATTATACTACTAACTAAAATCTGAGTAATTTTGGATTTTTTCAAAATTAGGTAATAATGTAAAATGAATATGTGAAAATGTTCTTTTCTATTATTTTATTGTATTTAATTAATCTAAAAGATCGTTAAATCTATCAGATGCTATTTAATCAATATATTATTCTTCAATCATTATTTTTTATGTAAGAGCTCCTATTGATCTTTTTGAACACAAAGATGGAGAATCAATATTTTAATCTAATAAATCAAACTTTTTTTTATTTTTATTATTAAAAAGAGAATTTTATAGAGATGCAATGGCTTTTGATGGGGGCTTGTCATTTTTATATAGATCTTCATAATCTAAATCATAATAATTGATAAAAAATGAATTAGTGGCCCCTCTAGAATTGATAATAGTTTGTCTCCTAGAATTTATTTATAAGAATCTTCTTTAAGATTATTAAATTTAATATAAGGATTATCTTGCATTAAAGTCGATTCTATCTTTTCTTATATAGGAAGCCTAATAAACTCTTTAAAATTGATGTAAAAAGGATAGAAAATGAGGAGCATTACTATAATAGTTAGAATAATTACACTTAAAAATGTAATACTGGACATTCTTTAGCAACATGATCATCCATTTAGCAAATATAACATCTTACTTATAAAAAACTATAATCTTTTTAAAATAAAATAGAATTTCTAACATTAAAATATTATTATAAATCTCTTGGGTAAAGTCTTGCAATTTATAAATATTTAATTTAATTTAAAACAAAAATGTGAGTAAATTATTTGCTTTATGCACTAGCTGACCTTACTTAATTAGTAAAGAAACAGATTTCTCCAAAATAATCATATTTATTTTTATTATCAATTACGATATTTGTTTTCATAAAATAAATGCTAACTTCTCCTTTTTAAATTAAATATAAATCATAGCTTATTTAAGGAATTTCATTAAATATAACCTCTTCTGGTAGATATAATTTATCCTCTAAAATTGGAATAATACCTTCAACTAAAAATTATTTTGTATGAAAATTCCAAAATATATCAACATGTCCAAATAATTTACCATTTACTTAATCCAATATATCTTTTGCTAATTCATGGGAAAGTATATTAGTAATATCTTTTAACAATATTTAATGACCATCCCATACATATTCTAAATATTTTCTAACTTTATTTTATAATCCATCAGGTATATTTGCCTTTTTCATATATTTATTTAATATGTTAGTTTTGGATTTTCGAACATTAGTTCTTTCTTCTAAAGAAGATAAAGCAAAACCTATAGAATTCATAGTAAATGCAAATCCACCACATGCAACTAATAAAAGGATAATCCCTAATCCTCTCTCTGTTGTTGTTAATGGACTTATATCTCCATATCCAACAGTAGTCATTGTAGCTATACCCCAATATAATGAATATATATATCTTATTTACCAATCTGCATTTTCATTATCTCCAAGCCAAGAATCAGATTCTTCTCTTGAAGCATAATGAAATATACATCCTAAAACATGGGCTAAAAATAATACGAAAACAAATAGTTTAAAGAATGTTAATACTACTCCTATCATTCTAATATTTTAAATAATTTCATCTAATTTATCCACAATCTTTTTTAATTTAGCTAATCTTAATAGTTTTAAAATATGAATAAATTTTAAAAATTTAAATAATCTAAGTAATTTTGCACTTTAAATAAGAGATTCTGATTCATCTATTATTATATCATAAGGAAATGTTGAAATTAAATCAATCCAAAACCAAAATGATAAATAACTTTTAATTATTTTTTCTCTTTTCATCTATAAAATACCATCTATATAAACACCAGTGTTAAAATTTAAGAGAATATCCAATGCGAAAACCCCTAAAGAGGTCATTGATATCTCCTTACTTATCTCTATGTCAAAACTTATTTAAAATGGTATACTAATCATTTCATAAATTACAAATGCTAAACATAATATATCCCATAACATTTTTATTGATCCATCAGGTGTTATTATGTAAGGAGGCAAAGGAGTTATGTGTTTTCTTATTTTTTTCAATAAATTGTTTATTTATATCAAATAATGATTAATTTTTAGAGATATTACTTCAGAGTATACTCTAGTATATTTAGAGTTTAAAAAATTTAAACTTCTTTATTCCCATTAAAATTTTTTCTTTTGTTTTATAAAAATTTCAATTTCTTTTGATTTTTCTAATTCATCACCTGAATCATCACTTGTAACAGCTGTGTCTCTTAAAAATTTCAATTATTTCATATTCAACCATTCTTTTTCTTTTCTATTTTTTAATAAATATTCATTTTATTTTATTTCATTCATTAATTATTGTAAAATAATTCAAATTATTTTAGTAAACTTTATAACTTAAAATTAAGTGATCATAAAAAGCCAAATCTTTAAATTATCTGATTAGAGCTTAAACCTAAAAAATTTTTTGAAATTAAGAAACAATTTAATCTATTATCCACTATACCTTATTTTCAAACAGTAATACTTTTTTCAAACTAACAACAATTTATTATATTTGATCCTATTTTTTTATTAGGAATTGGCTATAAATTAAACTATAGAATTAGAATCTTTCTTAAATGTCAATTTTCTATATTTCTTTTTTTAAATTTATTAATATCAGTCGAATGTTATTTGAAAATTATTAGATAAAAATATAGATATATATAAAAAATAAAGTGATTTATATTGGAATAATATTAATTAAATATATTAAAGCTAAATAGATATTAAAAAAGTTAAATAATAATTTTATGTAAAATATATTCTCAAAAATAAGGATTTCCTTTAAGATAATCGTCTATATCAGTAATAATCCAATTAAAATTTGGAACATAAGATTCTAATCTTAATTTATGATACTAAAATTAATTATTATCATAATTTCCTTGAACTATTTTTCCTTCTTAATCAACTGCAATTAATTTCTTGCTAGTATAAATTAAAATATTAGTAACTAATATTTAATTTTCATAAAGACTGAAAGGATTTTTAAGATTAATAAAATAATTCCTTTTTTAATATCTTTAAATACCTTGGAGTAATAGGGAAAGCAGGAATCTAAAAAAATCGAGTATTTTCATTTTCAATTCTGTTTATCTTTACACCAAAGATCCCTTTCACATCAATATTGCATTTATAATCTTTTTCATGATAAATGTGATATGCTTCATTTTTAATTCTTTTGAATAATAAAAAATAATTACTAATTATTTTAAAATCTTTTTGAAAAGAAACCAAACTATTATTATGGTTATTAAGCTGCTTCTTCTTATTCATCTTCTTCTTCTTACTTATTTTCATTTTCTTATTATTCCTATCCAATATATTATAATTTTAATTGTTTTCCTTCTAACATATCCATACAATGTGATGTAGCATGGTATAATTTAGGCTCTAGAATTTATTTTAAATACTCTTTGTCTTATTCTGCAATAGCTTATAATAGTGATGTATAGACTTAAGATGTTTGATTCAAGAATCCTTCTCCAAGTTTTTTAGTATAAATTTATGGGATTAGATTATAAAATCTGGCTAATTAAGGCTCATATAAATAATCTAATCCATGAAATGCATAGGGTAATATTCTCTACATTAATTTAATAAATAATAATCATTATAAATTTATTTAATTATTTATTTAAGGTTATGAACACGATTTTGGAATTTTAACAAGCTAAATATAAGATTAATTTCTATACATATATGAATTAAATAATACTGTTGTTCGTAAAATTACTATTAATATCATTAATCAAATTTATTTTAATTATTTATTAAATATTTTAAATGCTATTCTTATTATATTGATTAGACTCTGAATTAAATCTTAATGAGAATTAGATTCATCATTAAGACTCTTTTATGTTTATGAATTAAAAGGCATCTTATCTTTTATTTCTTTGTATTATTGTTTAATTTCAATAATTATTTTTATTTTTTTAATATCCCTTCTTATAAAAATAAATTAGGAGTACTTTTTAAAATTTGAAGTTGCTTAATTTAGAGATAATTTTGAAATCTTATAAGATTAAGGATTTAAGACTGTTACTATAAAAAGTAGTATTTTTATAAATTCTTAAGTTTAGATTAGATTCTTATAAATGTAAGCTTAAATTATTCTAAAAATTCTTCTTTTCTCTTAAGTTAATCGGTAGTACAATTATTTGTATATTATAACTATAAATTGCATCATAATTTTATTCTATATTTCTTAATTATCAAAATGATCAATAATTCTTTACTATCAGAAGAGATTGATCTAAGTAAGGCTTCTATAAGAAATGATAAGGAAATTGTTCTTATGTAATCAGCTATGAGATATAAAACCATCAAAAATAATCTCCAGTTAGTGATGATCCTTAATTTTATTTGTCTGGTAGGAACAACGTAAAATAAAATTTTTATTTAAGTTTTGCAATGGCATTCTATTAATGGTTTTTAATTGTACTTCCACCTAATGATACAAGAATTTGGTTAAATCTTTTATATGTTTATGATAAAGTAGTTGAAAAATATATGAGTTATAAAACATATGAGAAGTCTCAATAGAATTTTTGCAATTATATTTCAAATTTATCATAACAACAATGTCTCCATGAATTAGAAATATTAGAATCAATTGGTAAAAAGTTTATATAGTTTCAGGAATATTTTGCTTTTGTTGTATTCTGGTCTCTTTAGTGTTTCTTAGTTATGATATTATTAGACTAAAACATCTATTAAAAGCATTTGAATAATAATAAAAATATGAATCTAGACTTAAAGGAGTTATTGTTTATTCCATAATAATATTTGGCTAATCTATTTCTTTACTTGTGTATTTCTTTACAACTGTTTTCCTCAAAAGTTTAAAATAAATTGAAAGTTAATTTATTTAATTAAATTTTAGCTCATTTTGGAACTTCTTTTTGGGTAAATCTATTTTGTTGCATTTCTCTTATAATATTTGCAATTTACTACCGAAAATCAAAAGGCAGAATTCTAAGATTTTAAATTATGGAAAAATTAATAAATTAAGAATTAGCTGAAGAATCAATAAATCAATAGGAGAGTTCAGAAATGCATTTTTGATAAAAATTCTATTAAAATTTTATTTGATCAATTTAATTTTGTTTTTAAAATAAAGAATTAATGCTAATATTTTTAAATTGATAACTAAACAAAGAAACAAAGTTCTTTAAATGAAAGTTTTAAAATAACTCATTATCAAAATTAAACAAAAATTGGGCTCTTGAAAGTTGAGCTGGACCTACTTACTTTCAAAGCAAGTGTACTATTATATGTATATATGTATTTTAATAAATAAATAAGAAATTTATAATTCTTATTAAATTATTTCAGAATTACTTTTATGATTAAATAATAAATTATCAGTTGATGATAAATTAATTTTAAGTTAGTAAATTGAAAATATCAACTCCAATGGATATCTAAAACCATAATTTTGAATACACTCAAAAAAATTTAAACTAAATTTAAGTAAATAATCTATTTGAGAAAACAATTTAAGATTGTATACACAGATCATCATTGTAAATTGATGTTTTAGAATAAATAAGAGCAAGATCAAAAGACAGAAAAAGCAATTCAAAGAATACTACTGGTAAGACAACAAGAAGATCTTATGAATAAAATTAGAATTAATTTGATTAAAATCACTTAACTAAACCAATTAAATTGATTTTTTAGTAAGAAACTAAAGAAAATATAGATATAAATATACATGTGTAACAAAAATAATGTGATATTTAAATCAGATAAATAGACCTTGATTAAATGTTTGAAGAAACAATAACAAAAAGTAGATAAATAACTTAAAAATTTAATTTTATCAGATGAATGATTCGTTAAAAATAATATTTGTTTATAGATTTCATAATTCTTCAAGCTTTTTATGATCAACTAATGGATTATTTTTTATAAGTAATTGTTTAGCTTTTTCAGCATGATCAAATGAACAATTATGATCTTCAGGCAATCTATGTTTATTACAAAAAACAATTTTGCATTTGCATTAAATACCTGATATCCCTAATTTTCTTTTGCAAACATAACATTTAGAAGGATCTTGCTAAATATTTTAAATTATTTTAATACTTGAATATTTACTTATTAATTTGATTATACTTTCTCTTCTTGTATTTATTATTATAGTTATTATTGTTATTATTGATTAGATGTTTATAAAATAGTTCTACTTATATTCAACGAATATACTTATAGCATTTTGAGCAATAAAAATTAGTTTTGGCAGTTCCATAGAAAGTGTCACATGATGGACACCGTTATGTTTCTTATTTTTCTTCTTAATTTTTAGATTATTCTTCTGTTGTAGCCTATTAATTATTTTGCATTTTTATTTTATTTAATATAATAAATTACTTATCATCCTAATAGTGATTTAAATTGAAAAAATATAATTATCATCATTTATCAATATTTTTTTTACGTAGCAATTCTTAAAGAGCTTATTCAAGTTCTTATTATCTAAAAATTAAAAAAAGCAAATACCTTTTTTTATTGTTCTACAAATTATTATATTCTCTATTTTATTGATCTTCATTAGAATCTTAAATAAATGGTTTTTTCATTTCAAAACTAGATCCAATGTAAGATTATTCAGAATTAGGATCATCTAATTTTAATTCATTTCTTCCTTATTATAAGTTAAAAAATGGATGTTAGAGTAATTTTTCAGCTGAATATTATTAATGATTTGGTACAAAAATAATATCTAATAGATTTTTAGATAATTCACTAGCTTATGTTGGATATGATGGTTTATTTATATCAGAAGCATCCTTTAAATAATAATCATCCATATTGAGAATACCTCCACCAAACATCTCTATTATAACAGCCCCAAAAGCTATTATATCTATTGCAAATATCTCTTTCATTTTTTTACAATCTTCTTCTAATTTTGGGGACTTTTATTTTTATTTTTCATTTATTTCAACATCTTGATCAATTTAAATATAGTTTTTAAAATTAGATAATTTAATTATGCCTTAACTATCAACTAAAATATTTGAACTCTTTATATTTCTGTGGATAATATTTTTTTTATGAAGATAATTAATACCTTCTAATATTTATTTACTATATATTTTAATGTTAGTTTCCTCAAGATCAATTTTACTCAAAACTCGTCTCAAAGACCCTTAGGAGATATATTCAAGAGCTATATCAACATAAGTAAAATCAGAACTTATTTCTGTAAAATAAAACTCTATAATATTTTTATGCTTTAATTGTTTCAATAATTTTATTTCTGCTTTCAATGAATTAATCTATTGATTCATCTATTATATAATAATATTATCAAATACTTATTCTTTTGTACCTTAAAGCTTAACAGTTTTTATTGCCAATATTTTACCTGTTTTATTATCAAGTGCTTAATATACTTCAAATTATGATCCTTTACCAATTAATTCACTTTTTTTATAATCCCTCTTTTTGTAAACTTTTTACTATTAGATTGAACAATTTAAATTTGTGAATTATGATAAAGTTTAATTATTCAGTTGAGTTGTTACATCCTAAGTTTAATTTTTTTAGAATTTAGAAGAATCATTATTATTTATCTTAAGTTATCTATCGTTACGAGGTGGTTTGCTCACACAATAGCCCATTATTTTAAAAAAATTATAAAAATAAATTAGTTTTATTATATTCGTAATTATATAATAATTTTTACTTACCATCTATATTAGGGAATAATTCATTCGAATAAAAAGTTTAATGTTAATAATATAAAAAAAAATATATGATTTAAAGCTGATTATTATTTTTATTTTTTTAAGATTTACATATCTTTATTCATAATGAAAATAACAATATATATTCATTTGCTTAACTAATTCAAAATTTTATCAAATTCAATAAATTTATTTTATACAATTTTCTTTTTTTATTTATCTTTCTTTTTTATCCTCAACAATTATTGTTATTAGTATTCTTCCATATTTACAAAGCTTTTAATGATTGGTAAACATTATTATTATTAAACAACAGATTGCCATTGTTATGGCTATTAAGTTTATTCTATATTTTTCTGTCTAACATTGGAACTATTCATTTTAACATGAGATTATCTATTACATAAAGGAGTATAATTGATTTTTTTAATTTCCCCTAATGAAGGTTATTCTTTTTAAGTTTTATCAATTTCTCTAGCAACATAGATTCGTCTAAAAATTTACTTTTTTGGTTAGATTACATCTTCTTAATTACTAGTAGTTCTTTATCTAAAGCTGTTTGATTAGGGTTATTATTATTATTATTATTAAAGCTAAATCTATTAAATATGAATTGATTATTATTGATCAGAAATTTTCTTACCAAAAATTTCATTCAATTTTTATCTTAGTTATAAATAATCATCCCCTTTAATTAACTCTTTTATAGTTTTGATATCCTTAATAACACTTTGTTAAGTATACTGAGGAGAATCGAATTATAGAACTGCAGATTTTAACATAGGTTTATGATTATGGAAAGTTAATTTGACATCAAATTCACCAAATAAAGTCAAATATTAGATATCCTTATAGAAATATTCTATATACTTGATTTTTTTAAGCCATATAATCTACATTCAGTAATAGCAATAGCTTCTCCTTCAAAATGATGAATAACTTCTCTTCCATTCTGAAACATAATACCATCAGCAATAAAAACAATTGTATTCTCAATTTTAACAATTTGTTTATTCATAACTATAATCCTATCAATATATTAGAATAAGAAAGTTGGAAGTGTGGAATATTTGTTTAAGAGTTTATTTTAAGTTATCACTTGAAGATACTTGAAATCTTCCTTTATTTGATAATCTAAATGTGGCCATATGTTATTCACTTTTATTATTAATACTCTGTGATTATAACTCTCTTTATTTAATGCATAGAAATTTTATTAACAAAGACCCATTTATGTAAATGCTTAATTTGGTAGGAATGTAAATTAATCTGTTGTTAATTTACCCTCTAATGGAATGTAAATGTTTTCTCCTTTGTCATATAGTTTGGAACTATTGCAATCAAAACTTGGTTCTATTATAGTATTCAATTTATTTAGTATTGGAATTTCTAACATTATAAATATAAATTTAATTACAATAATCACAAAAGAAAAAAGTGTAATGCATATAAGTTTCAAAACAACTTTGTATCCATTGAATAATCTTGATATTGATTGTTAATTGTAAAACATTAAAAAGATTGGATTATAAATTTTATTATTTAATTTACTTTCAGAATGTTAATAGTTCAACATAAATTAAAATTTGTTATTTATTATCATTAATTTTATAAAGACATGACTAATATAATATAGTCATTTCATGGTGCTTCATCTTTTGGATTTGGATAAAGATTGAATATTGTATGATAATTCAATATAAAAGTTTGCATAAAAAGAATAAAGTCCTAGTCCTAGTCCTCATCAATATACTATGTAATCAACTTTATCTACAAGTGCAACAAAATTTGGGAAATCCTTACGTTCTTAATTGAAAGATGAAACACCTTCAGTTGGAAAATATGAATTAGAATAAAAAGATGTATCTTGCTGATATCATTTATAATAGAAAAGAAAATTAAAAATAACAATCAAAGGAAAAAGAAAATAAGAAAAGGTGTCTTCTACAATTGAACCTCCTAAATCAAATAAAAAATATGGTTTTGGAGATAGATTCTTAGTTACTTATGAAACCGAAGTTCCTGCACCTAACCAATATGATTTGACGAATAATTACTCGAAATCTAGCATTAATAAAAAAAATGGTTTTATGTTAAGTTCGAGTAAACAAGATAGTATCTATCCAGGATCAATAACTCCTGCGTATACTTATTTAAACAATCCATAAGGCCTGGTTAATATGAAAGTAGTCTTACTAAATAAAGCACCAATCAAACTTTTTCAAAAGCACCCAGAGATATTTATTATACAGATACACCAGGTCCTGGAAGTTATCACTATGATTATAAACAAACTTAAGGATTTTCGTTTTTAGCTAAGTATAAACCTTCTGAGCCTTTAAATTATCCTGGACCAGGAGCTTATGAAGTTTAAGATAAAATGGATGGAAATGGAACCATTAAATTTAATTCAATCTTAAGATAAACTATTTTTAGTCAAATTAAAGAATAAAGTCCTGGACCTGGAACTTATCATTATGACTAATAAATAAATAAAAGTAAAGGTATAAAGTTTTTAAAATCTCCCAAAATATATGATTATACTACTAAAATTCCAGGTCCTGGGGCTTATGATACTAAAATTTCTACTCTACAAAGTTAAGGCGGAGTTATGGGGAAAATATATAGATTAAAAAGAATATTTACAACTCCAGGACCTGGATAATATGATATTGATAATTCTATTGATCATGATAAATTAATCAAAATAAACAGTTGGAGTAAATCTAAAAGATTCTAAGATGAAAGAACTAATTTTATTGGTCCTGGAAAATATGAAATCAATCGTTCCTTCAACAAAACAGGAATTTCCTTTA